GCTGTTGCAGTCCTAACCGTATGGTTGCATTTTATAGATTTAACTTTTTTCATAGAGAAGAAGGATGATAAGATCAATACTTCGAAAAGTTCACCAATAAGAGATCACTTATTTATTGGAAATGCTTCTTTTATATAAGAGTAAACAAGCTTAATCTAAAACTGGGCACTGCATTTTCACATGCCCTGTAAAAAAAAGCAAGACATTGGTTGTAACGATGGTGTTTCCAGAATTTTGGATTTGCACTGTCAAGACAACATTAACAGACAAAAAGTGCAAGCAAACATTTTGGCTAAACACAAAGTGCCAAATAAAAAAATCATATTGTTTATGATAGATCAGACTCCGAACTATCTTCCATTTCGATTTTTCTGACAAAAATAGACTTTTCTCAGGTGAGGAATTAGTCATAATTCCGTCTATGTTTATTTTCAATATTTAATGGTATAAATTCTTGGTAAATCTTCATATATTTATATTTATTAATTGAATAGAAAACAAAAATTCTCGAGAGTTTCGAATATAGCAAATACTTCTTGAAATAGATTCCATTTGACATGGTCAAATTCATCAAGTAAGTGTATGTCTATTGCGTATTCTATCTTGATTATTCTTTTGTTCCGTTGTTTTGATTCAAAAATTTTTCTTTTTGCATTTGCTAATATAATGGTTCTATCAATTTATTTGATCTGTTCAGGTTAATGAATTAATTTATGACGACATTCAAAAATGTTTCTGTATTAAATTTCTGATGACTAAAACCGACTAATGTGACAAGACAAATATCCAGTATTCGTGCACTGCCCGTTTGGTGTTCTTTTATAATATGCTGATTTTCGGCAGAAAGAGTTACCAAAATTTCACTACTACTTCTTATTTTCTAGGTTTAGGTCATGCTTATACGCTATGTAAATAATCATATACGATTTATTACATCAAATTGCAATGTTTAAAACTTGAAGAGTTTCAAAAAATCTAAAATAGTCGTCAATATGATGAAAGAAAGTCAATTGTGTCATTTGATAATTAAATTATAACGTGTTTCAGATGAATCAGGATGCACAAAACGATGAATTCGTGCTAGTAAATAACATCTGTTATGACAAACATTAGGATTAATATGCAGACGCATCAGAATTCGATTTGAAGTAAATTCCTCATAACAAATACTGAACTATTACGTTTATTTTCGTTAGATGGTAAAACATAATGGGAAAATCATTTAATATTGGATCTTTCCAATACACTTATGCTTTTGAAAATATATCGTCAATATCCATTGAGAAGTGAAGAGAGATATTATTGATCCGAAAAATTTTCTTTTGATGAAATTTGAAGCAGATTTTTAATAATGTAACTCAATAAAGAATATTGAAACCACATTTATATTAATCACAAAATGACATTGTGTTTCGTTTGTTACATAGTTTTGGACTATTTATTATACTGTCAAGTTCATTTAGCATCGTCAAATGAGTTTGAGTAAATCAGTATCAATTATCAGCAAATATTTTATTTGTTTAGATGAAGAATAATCAAGATACGACAATCGTAATGATCGCAGCTTCTAATCTGTTCATGTTCGTAATATTCATTGAGTATTGACATGAAAGCTGAATATTAATGAAGAAAAAAACTCTAAATTATTTCAATCAAATTTCTAGTGAATTCATATGATATTCATCTTTGAAGTTTATCTCACAGTCGTTTGTTGAGACATAAAGGCAATCTATTGAAAATGCATTCAAGAACTAATGGACACGTTTGCTTGTAATCATAGTGAAATAAATGGTGAAATTATTCTTCTTATTAATATTTATTCATGTGTAGAAATTCGAAAGAATTTATTGTGTCGACTGATTATTACTGGCACTCGCCAAATGACTTCATTAATTCATTTCCACAAATACAAGTGAACACTATGATAAATAGATTGAATACTTGTCAGCTGCAAAATACTTAGAACATATTTGATTATTCAACAAGAAAACCATGCGAACTGATACCGACCGTTTGAACTCAAATTGAGCTTACAATGAGGTCTTGATATGACCAGCAAAGATATAAAAGGATGCGTCTTTATGAGTCTTTGAAGCCGAATTATAATTGTTTTACTGAATTTCGACGTCAAATTTCGGCCATATGAAGCTCTAAGGATCTATAGGATATTCTAAAATTTTCAATCAAAAAAGAATGTTAAATTGTTAAGATATTGAAATACGAAAAAATATTCGCTTGACCTAGACATGATAAAAAATCTGGTTTACTTGAAAATTCAATAACGACAAAGGAACATTCTTTTTAGTTGAAAATTTCAAGATATTCTACGTGTCATTCAACCTATTTATGAGCAAAATTTCACGTCGAAATTTCTTTATTTGATTTTTCAGTATGCAGACTTTTGCTAGTCGTACAAAGACGTCATTGTAGGCTCAATATGAGCTCAAACTGTGTGCATCATTTCGGATGACTCTCTTGTAAGATGTAGTGAAAAAATATGTTAATAATAAATAAGATAAAAACGATATAATTTGAGTTAATTCATTCGGAAAATCAGCTCACGCCGACATGAATCATATGTTTATGACTAACATATTATATATCATAGATCATTCATTATTTCTAAGGAAAAACAAAACTATTTTGTGAAGTACAGTCTAAAAGAAATGTTGAAATATAGGAACACAATTTTGGTCTCATAGCAGACTGTGACAGATGCTGTTAATATATGATAACATAACGGTTCGTTACAATATTTGAATTACTTTCTTATTGCATTTCTGGAAGATTGAGTAAAACTATGTTTAGATGACGTATCCAAAAATAGATAGCATAGAAACATCTCCTTGTGACTATAAGAAGCAGCTACATTATGTTTCACATTTTAATCCTGCAGGGATAGCACTAACAGCTCTTTTGTTTTATGTTTTTAGTCAATTTGCAGACACGAATGTTTAGTCTATAACTGGATGATGCGTACCATGAGATAAAATGGAGTACAACTAAAATTACTTGTGGTGTAGCTAATTGATTGTAGGCTCTTCTACATCTTTATATGCCTATTTACATTAGCAATTTGTTCGTCAATTATCAAAAGTTTTAGATCAGCGAGATTAAGTTTTTTTAAAATCATTTATTGTTACTTGCAATCATCATTTATTTTCCCTTCTATTCACGAACAAATGAATTATATTGTGATATTAGTACATTTTCATCGTGTAATTCTATCGTTTATTTCTCATAATTCTATAGTGATCAATTTTGTTAATAAGTCTTTCAATTCCTCATACGCGTTTTTACAACAATAAATGAATGTAAACCTTCTATAAACCAAACATCTTTTCAATTAAAGCATGATCTTGATAAGAATATATTTTCTATATCGTCTAGGAAGTATTCTATCGTTTCTCATAATAGAACTGCCGATAGGTTTTATAACAAGCTCGCATAATCCCATTTAAGAAATAATGTATGTATCTATTGTATATTCTTCAAAATCAACTATATCGTTGCAAGAAGTAAGTAATGACATTGATCTACATTATTCTTGTTTTTTAATGTCTTTTGTTTCAATTTTCAGCAGCGACGATGCATAATCTGTCTTTTTTTTATTACAATATTCTAATATCAAAGGAAACAGACATTTTTGTTTTGTCGTTCATCTTCAGCTCGGTCTAAGTCTTATTATTGTTAGTTCTTATTCCTAGGTTTATGTTATTGATAAAATCACGATTGTGACCACTATTGGTCATGACAAATGTGCAGTATTTTTCTTTGTCGGAGATTATTGTATCTCCAATTCTCAAACGGCAACCTGAAACGAAAGCTGTGCTGAAAGAAAGGCTCAAGTTGACTTATTCTTCTAGTCTCATTCAGGAAGGCTGCTCCGAAAAACTATTCTTTCTTTTTCAACACCATAACTGCGATACAAATGACTATTGACAGTAGTGTATATTAATTGAACTCTTAATATATAATACTTCTTCCGATTCGATATAAATCTTTCTTTTTCTAATAAATTTTTGTATATTGTTATCGTTGAAGTTCTACTCTTGTCATGACTAATTTTCTATCAATTATATATCGTCTGTCATTTGTGATTTCCTTTCGACTTTGAAAAAAAAGAACGTCATTGTGCTGTTGCAATTATTTTCAGTTGATCAGCATCTATTCTATTTCGTAGGAACAATGAATATATCTAAGGTTTCATTTTAGTTTTTTTTCTATTATAATAATATTAGAGGCGCAAAATAAATTGAGTACCTGTAAAAAAAATACTAAAGTATTACTAAAAGAATTAACACATATAATATCGTCGAATGATTAAACTAGATAATATTAATTTTTTTTACTCATGATGGTTTTTGCTTGTGAAACTCTTACTAAACATTTATGATAAGAAAATACTTCGGCATAAAATTGTAATTCCTGTGTAACATTGATAACTGTAACTCGAAAGAAATTACTATCATTGATAGATAGAATGTCTAATAAGATGAATTCAGTAGTAATGCAAGAATACAAAATTCACAACAAGAATAGACATGTGCTTTCACAGTAAAAAATAAGAAGCCGAAGTTCATAATTGACTTCATTTAATTGAATGAGGTGTCGAAAAAAACAATCTAGCGACATAGAAAATCAGAATGATTCGCTAATAATAATATTTTTAATAATAATCTTGGTCAAGAAAACGAAGAAAGTAACTTATTTTTTTGTGCACTATTCTTTTATATTAACAACGTGTTTGCATTCTTTATGCTTCATTGCAATTCATTTTATTATTTTTGAAAATAAACTCGAAAATCTCATTGCTCAAAGCACAAATTTAACAGGTGCACGTGATGAATTACAAACATTCTTATCAGCTTTCTCAGTGTCGACTTCTGTTTTTCATGACTTGAAATACATTGATGCATATTCTCCGAAGAAAAATATAAAGCAAAAAAATAAACAATACCAAGAAATTTCACAACAAATAATACATTCAATATACGAAATTAAAAATCTTTAAATAGTTGTACTTCATATTTTGCTGCTTGTGGTGTTTGTTTGATGTCAAATTCTTCATATAGATCAAAATTCGTTGTATCACCTGGTGACGTAATTGTTGGTTTTATAGGTGGTTCAATTTTTCGATTATAAAGATCTGTCCATGATACACTAACAAACCATTGTTCACGTTTTATTTCATCACCACCATTTTTTGCTGAACCAAGTCGTTGCGATTGATCAACATTAAGTAATTTACGAAGAACTTGTTTAGCTGCATAATCAAAATGACGTGGAAATTCAATTTTACCAGAAAGAATCTTTTGATATGTAACAAATTGATCATTATCATAAAATGGTGGATAACCTATAAATAGTAGTGAAATAGATTGAAAACTTCTTTTCTTATTCAAAGTAAATAAATACCAGCAAGCATTTCATAGATTAGAATGCCAAGTGCCCACCAATCAGATGCTTTATGATGACCGCGATTTTGAATGACTTCTACACAATAGAAACAAAAAAAATCGGAGAATTTTAATAGAAATAAAAAAGAAAGAATAAAATGTTTGCTAACCAGGAGCAAGATAATCAACAGTGCCACAAAGTGTAAATGTTCGTTCTTTAGTTTCTTTAGCAAAACCAAAATCAACTAGACGAATATGACCTTCACTATCTAATATAATATTTTCCTAAAAATAATGAAATAAATAATTGATATTAAAACATATTCGAAAAAGAAATTTACTGGTTTTAAATCTCGATAAAGTATATCTAAATGATGTAAATAATCAAGTGCAAGTAAAACTTCACTAGCATAAAATATAGCTGTTTTAGCATCAAATTTTTCATGTTTACGCATCATTTGAAAAAGTTCACCACCTGGTAAATATTCGAGTAGAAGATAAAGTAAGGAATTTGTATGTGTTGTCCATTGTAAACGTACAAGAAATGGATGATGAATTTTTAATAAAATATTTTTTTCACTTTGTACATGTTCAATTTGTTTTGATTCAATAACACGTTTTATAGACATTGTCTTGAGAGCATAGAATGTATTTGTATCACGATGGCAAACAAGTTGTACTCTGCCAAACGTTCCTAAACAAAAAAAAATGAAACAGAATTTCTTATTTCAATTGTTTCTTTTCTTTTTTTTCAATTCTATAAAACTTACCAGTACCAATTGTTCGAATAATATCAAATGAGTCAATTGTAAATTGAATTTTTTGTATGGAAGATCTTTTTGATGATGGTGGTGATGATGATATTTCCTCGGTATGAGTCAAGATAGAATTATCATTATTTGATTGTTTGATTGGTTTATTATCGTTTATTATGTCTGAATCGTCTTGTAAAATAGGAGTAGTTGATGTTATTATATTTAAATCTGGTATTTTTGAAGATCGTCTTATAGGAGGTAACTCAGTAATTGTTGTAGTAGTCATTTTATTTGTTGATTCATTTTGATCTGTTATAGTTGTAATATTTGCAAATGAATTAACACGGACACATGGTTTTATTGATGGAATCGAACTTTTTTTTACAGACATTCGAGATGAATTCGTGCGTTTTATTGTTGATACTGTAATTGGAGTTGTTTTTGAAATAGTTACTTTTCTTTGAGAACGTGGTGTTGCTATAGTTGATCCACGAGTTGATCGTCTACTTAATAAACGTTCAGGAGGTTTCGATGGAGTAATAGGACGAACTGTCGCCATTTAAAAAATTTGACAAATGAATTGTATAACACTAAAAAAACATAGAACTAAAAAAAAAGAACGAAGAAAAAAAAACAACAACACAGGTCACAATTAAAGAAGTAAGAACGTCCGACAACTATGGTAGCAAATGTCACTTGAATTTTGCTTGAATCAACATATTGAAATAGTGAAGTAAAACTCTGTCACGCAAAAAAAAATCGATGATGTCAAGATTAAGTACTTTATTTGTGGCTGATTTACTCAGACTTTTTTTAAACAAGAGAAACGAACGATCAGTAAACACATTTGTTCTCTGTCTTAATATATTTTTTTCCTCGTTCTCTTCTATTTTCAAAAAAAGCAAAAAAGAAAATTTTTTTTTCCATTGACGACTTCATTATTTCAATCAGCATAAACATATACATATTGAAGCCTTTACATATCATGTATGTTGAGAGATAGAAAAATAATGAAAATTTCAGTATGAAAGAGTGCAAAAGAATTCATAAAAAAAAGAAAAAAAATTACGGTTCTTTGGATTATTAATCATGGCAATAAAAAAATTCCTTCTAAAAGCTTTTTTATTATTGTTACTGAATCTTTTTATAATATTTTCAGTTTATGATTCGTAAACAACTTACTTTTTCTTTAATATAAAAAATACAGTTTAAAAAAACTCGATAAGTATGTAGATGTAGATAATAGGACGCCCAATGTTTTTATTGCATGTTTCTTTGAATTCGTTACTGATCGACCTTCTTTTTTATCCAACACATCGCTTAGTTGTGAATATCTTTTGAATACAAACGTCTCTTTTTTTCCATCTCTCTCTTTTTCTTTCTTTCTTCTTTATTTCCATTATCGTCATCATTATTCAATATGCAATGCCCAAACATTACTTAGACACAAATGGTAGAGATGATGGCGACAAAAAGTTTCTTTTCTTTCTCTCTAACGCTTATACTCAGCGCACACATATTCATTGATTTTTCTTAGTGTTCCTATTGTCATTGTGAGACAGTGATAGAAGAAAGATAAAAAATGAGTATACTTTTTAGCGGAACAAACCAAATAAAAGAATAATGAAAGGTAAATTAAAAAGAAACAATGAGCATCATGCTGGTTTACTTACCTAGAAATATTCTATTCAAAGTCATTTGAATACATCATTTTTTGTTGCTTCTATTTTTGTCATCTATGATACTCACGACTTATGTATACGAATAAAAAGCAATGTGAGATAAAAAAAAAAGAAAACAGATTAATATTACCTTCACAGAATTCCACTGTGCGTGTTATACGTAATAAATACCATATAGCAACACGAAGGAACGGCGTTACTTTTCATGTACGCATTACAAATTGTAATAATTATACACTAATTAAACTTCTTGATTTGATGCAAAAAAGTTGTGCGTTCACAAATTCCAGTGATTCAAAAAAAAAAACGCTATATTATATTTATTCAATTTGACAGTGTAGTTTGAAATAACTTATCATTTTACATAAACATGATAATTACAAAGAATAATGTTTAGTAAAACTTTTATTTACTCATTATCATAATCTTTAATCTTATTTGCATCACATAAATATAAACATGTATAAAAAAAAATAAAATAATACTTATATACAATAGTGATAAATTTTTTCGAAGAAATTCAAACGGTAAGCAATACAAAAAGAATAACCATTTATGCTATATGTATAGAATACATAAGTATTATTCAATGTTAAGTATCGAATGGAATATTGATATGCACACACAATGTCATGAGTAAAAACTGAATATCAATTGTATAATAACTATCATCAATTTTAATATTTGCTTTTCTATTATCGAATTTTAATCCTTAAAAACTATTGAACTTTAAGATCTAATACGTATGTTCTTTTTTTTGACTATTCAATAAAAATAGAGCATTTTATAATTAGAATATAATAAAACGAAACCATAAAAAAACTGAATCATTTCGTTTTCTTCAATTACAAAAATAGCATAGGCAATTCATCCAAAACACTCTTGTTCACTATTGACACTAAATATTAAGCAATATGAATATACAATGATTTACAAACATATATTTTTCAAAATATTCATATGATGGAATATGTAATAATTTTAATTGCATAAATTATTGACGTGATGTTGTCACACCCATATTGGTATTGGAATCATGATCATGATAGAATACTTTTTTTTCTCATTATTGACAATTACTGAAAGGTTAAATTTCTTTTCATTTACGTCAATCAAAAGCTAACATAACCCATTTGATGTGAGTATAAAATATTATGTGGAACATGATAAAAATAAGTGTATTCATATGTTATGACGCTTGAAATATATGTGTAAGTGTTCTATTTGATTAACAAACAGTCTCGGTCGAAATAATATTTACTATATAAGTAATGGATGATTATTTTTAGAATTATTCCCATGGGAAATTATGGAGTCAAATACATTAGACATATCAATTATTCGAAGATTACAAGTTTTTCTTTACAGAAATATAAGAAAAATTAATTGAATTACTGCATACTTTTACATTTGATACAAAGAAAATTGTCCTGTTTTTTTTATTGCTATAAATCAGTTTCTTTATCTTCCAATATTTATATAGTTATATTATAAAAATTTCAAAAAAAAAACGAAAACATCAAAATATATATATCTATTGAACTGTTTGTTGAGCAGCCATGTGATCGGTGATAGTATCAAATAATGATTCACGTTCAAGCATAGATTCAGTTAAACTACGTGTTTTGTGTCTTGAATCATCAGGTTGTGGTGTCATTTTCATAATACTAAATTGTTGAATATTTGAATTTCTTGCACGTATATGTGCAACGCGTTGTTGTGCTTGTAAAAGACGTTCACTAGCATCACGCATAGCTTGTACATCCAATTGTTTACGTTCAATATTCGATAAAGCACGACGAACATGTTTACGTTGTGTTAAATATTTGTCAATTAATCGAGCTTGTTCTTCTGTATTTTGTTTTTGTCTTGCAACTAATTCTCGTGCATGTCGTGCTTTTCGTTGAGCACGTATATTACTCTCATGACGTTTTAATGCATTTGATATTGATATGTGTTGAGCATTAAATCCTTGCGAAAATGCTATTTGTGCACGACGTCTTTTTTGTTGTTCAAGAAGAAGAAGACGTTGTTCTTGAACTGTATCATATAATTCATTTTGAGAATGTTCAACACGATGACGAATATAAGCTTGTTTCATACGATCTTGATCTTTTGCACGATGAATTGCTACGAGACGTTCATCATGTACATGCTAAAATAAATAGGTAATAGAGTTTCTATATTTAGAATAATTTAAAATCAATTCGAAAATTGTCTAACTGCCGGCATCGACTAGAATCCGTCTAGATGAACATTTTTGGATCGAGATCTGGTAGAATCGTGCTTTGATACTCAAAATGAAATTTTTCTGAGCGTAATTGGATAGTCGTTTCGAAGATACAAGATATTGTTTTTCCGAACTTATGTATTCAATGAATAGTCTATTCCACATATTTTTCAGATGACTAAAGTGCATGAGGTCGAACATTTTCGAATTCGAGACGAACTCGTCGGGTTCTAGAATTGACTAGTATAATGGTAGAAAAGATTTATTTTGAATAACTGTATAATAACAAGGATGTATGAAGGTTTGTCACAATGCTCAATAGTATGTAGAAAACAAATAAAAGCCGTGGTAAAGTCATGCTGAATCTGTTGTTATAACAATGGATAAAATGTCATTGCGAATAGATCAAGGACAGAGTATCTTATTTCGATTATGTTATTATTTATGAAATCAGAGAAAGAGTATTAAAGAAGTCGAAAGATGTATATATTTGATACTTTTCCATAGAAAAAGATGAATGTCGTGAGCAAATACGAAATTCTGATTAATAATAAGAACAATCTGATAAATTAAAAACTATGAGACTTGATTAAAAGTATTAATTTGTTGGAAGTTTTTTAAAAATAAAAAAAAATCTATTAATTATTAAAGAGTTCATTCTTTTGACATTTTTAATGTTTAAATTATCCGTTGTGAATAGTTTGAAGAATCAATGTTGAAAATTTATTTTTATAATTGGATAATAAATTTTTGAACTAAACGAAAACAATGGAAAATTAATTACTTTCTGATATTAAAAATGAGTTTCTTTTCAAAATCACACTAGAGAATGTTTTTGCTATTCAGTAGAAAAGACGAAGGATTCAAAGTAAATTAAGATTGTTATTTAATTTAACTGTAACTAACGGTATAACTGAGGCAGTTGATTCGCCACCGCCATGATCTATGGTCGAAAAATATCAAAAATAGGTCAGCTGTCACCGGTAGCATTCTAGCGCCCCAACTGCAGCATTACCTACAGACCGTCAAATATTACTAGGCATTGTCGTCAACAGCGAAAAAACGTTTGCATACAGTCGATCGTCGCCTCCGATGAATGCATCGACTTACATTGCTAAGTATAATTGACTTCTGTTTCGAAGTACTAAATTAACTTGTCAAAAGAACACTTGTTTTCAATATGCATTGACGTCAACCGATTAAACTACATTCTATTAGGTATACACGACTCTCTTTTTTCTCCTATATTCTTGAATCGTCTAATCTACTCGGATTAGGTAATTCCGAATTTGGGATTTTTTTTTCATTTAGTATTAAAAATAGATATGATGAAATTAATTACTTGTATTTGTGCATGAATCAATGAATGTTCTTGTCGAGTTTGTTCGACGTCTTGTGCAAGTAATTTTTGTCGTTCAACTTTTGCTCTTTCATTATAAGCTTTATCAATAGCTACTAAACATCCAAATGCCATACTTCCATGTATTGTTCGTAAAAGTCGATCATCTAATGTATGATTTTTTATTAAATTTCGATTCATTATATTATTTTCTTTGATTTCTGCTGCACGTTTACGTTGTTTTAAATGTGATTCATCTTTTATATTTTGTACATATTGTCTAGCTGCACGAATTTCATCATTTATTT